TTGGTAAAAATCTGCGCTCTGCTTAGCTACTTCATGAACCCCATTGTCAAACTCGAGAATCCGAAGACGTCCATCTAATTGACTTTTAACTATCCCAAGAACAAGAATAGGTGACGAAGCCTATGCCGTTGCTGCACCAACGTTTTGGAACAACAACAACCTTGTTTCATCCCCTAAACATCGTAAATATTAATTCTAGATTCGAAGTTTTCGTGACTGCAAGGATCCATACTCTTTGGTTCTTTCGGTAAAGTCACGTAGGAGGAAAAATAAATGATAAATAAATATAAAAAATAATAGAAATAAATAAATCACGATGTTTCGATTGCAACACAAGCAATCATCATTAGGTGTGACAACCACAGCAAGGATTTTTTTACTGAAGTGAAATTTTATTTAAAAATAAATGTATGCAAACCAACACACCTGAAGACGACCGTTTGAGTTATGGTCGAAACGTCGTGAGAATTTTTTATTGTTTTATACATATTTTATTATTTTGTTGTTTTCCCTTCAACGTGACTTTACCGAAAAAACTAAGAATATGAAATTTTCTTGTTGTGGTTGTCACACCTGATGATGATTATTTGTGTTACAATCGAAACGTCGTGATTTATTTATTTCGATTATTTTTATATTTATTTTTTCACCCACGTGTCTTTACCGAAAGAACCAAAGAGTATCGTAAATATCCCTTCAACAATAATCTGAAGCAGAAGATTAGTACTGGGTACAACCACTATCTGTGATTTGCAACTTTGATTATTACCCATGTATTGATAGTTTAACTTTAATTTGCAATTTTATTGACGGGCTGTTTTGTTGTTGTTTTGGTGTGGTCTGGGACTGTTATTGTTTTTCTGCCTTGGCCAAGTTTGCATTTGGTGTTGAAAAATTTGAAGGAATTGATGTACTTATGCCGTTTGCACTCATATATAAGAATTGGTTTTCCCCTTTCTGGCAATATAACCGTTGTTAAGATGTTAAAACACCGACGACAGTGGATATATTACCAGGGGATGTGTTTTTGTTTGCATGTTCACCACAAGTTTGCGTGGTTAATGCAGACACGCTTCCTTGCAAAAAGTTTCCGTTTGGTGTTGAAACATCTGTGATAAACGACTTCCACCACAGGTTGAGACTAGCGTCCTTTATTTATTTAGTGGTGATAGCTCGGCTCTTCACTCCCTTCTGGATGGTCACCCTCTCTCTCTCTCTCGCTCTGCACGCACGCGCGTGCTCACTGCTCCTCCGTGGCCGGTGGCGTGACGAGATGACGGAGATGCAGTCCGGACCCCAAGGCTTCCACACCGACCCCGAGTCCTCCCCTTGAGGGGGGCGTGGTTAGAGGCGGAGCTTGGCTCCGCCTCTAACCACGCCCCCCTCGGAACCTTCACGATGGTTCCCGCATGTACCCACGAGCTCCGCCCATGAACTTTGGCCCAGATGGAACCGTTAGCCCTGATTGGCTGTGCTTGATGCCCGTCTCTCTGCTATCTCATTACACATCTTAACAGAGCTGTTTCATTGCCAGAAAGGGTCAAACCTATTGTTATGTTTTGATAATTGCAAGAAAGGTCCCATTATGTACTCATATACTTTATTTATTTGTATTTAAATTTGGTGAATTGCTCAGCTTTCATCAACTTTGCACTCCTTTCGTGCCGTTGCACTGTTTGTCGCTGCAACGTTCAGACCCGCCCCTGCTGGACACCTGTGAAAAAAAGCGCTTTATAGCTCATCGGATTCCTCCTACAGTCTCAATAAAGATGCTGAATCTGAAGCAATGCTGATGAAGTGACTTGATTCACAAGGATCCTCGCTGTTATGTATGGATTCGACCCAGAACTAGTATTATGTTAGAGCGTAACACTCCTTCGTGAAGCATCAAAGTGAAGCAACTCGTGGCATTGATGCAAATCATAACCCACGAAAAAAAAACACATGCACGTGTTACTCTGAATAAACTAAAATATTAACATTAACCTAATCTGGGCCATCACCATTCCTTTCTTCATATTGTGGATAGTCGTGCTTACTCATTGGAACCGTATCAGGGTTTGATTTACTCGTGATATGCGATGTTTTTTTGCTTTTACTGCACTGGACAGATTTGCATTAAACGTATCCGTTGAGTTAAAGATTGTATCTCCATCGTCTGTGAAGGTTCCCTCTTGCGTTTGCGTTTTTTTTTCTGACCTCGCTGTTGTGCACGGCTCTGCCGCCAGGATCCTTTAGCTTCGCGCAACTTTCACCTGGCATCAAATTAGCCGGGTGCGTCGGACACGCCGAGTTCGCAGATCTGCTGCGCCGGAGGACGAGAGAGAGAGGGGGGGAAAAAAAGGACTCGCGAGTAAACCGACCTTTGGAATGGCTCTGAGACTGCTCCGCGAGCCTAGCAACCGCTCTGCAAAACAACGTTGGGAAGATAATTGTGGCGTTACCAAATCTGGCACCTGTGGCACCAGCGAGCCCCCTCGATAATGAGCCCCGAACGCCATTAGAGACACACGCCATTGACTGAGCAATACATTACTCGTCGTGCCGCTTGATGATTTACTTACCTAGCTCCCTCTGTCACGCCTGGCCCAAACCTGCCCCCCCCCCCCCTCTGAATTTCCTCTCTACCCTGCACGGACCTCCCCACCCACCGTAACACAAAAAGACGCCGTACCACCGGATTAATAATAATAATAATGTTCAACCCTGCCAAGCTAAGACTTTGCCACCCCCCTCTCTCCCCCCAGTTGCCACAGAACATTGCTCCCTGGACATAAGCTCCCTTCTTCTTCTTCATCTTCACTCTGCTGCCCGCATATGGAACTGCCTCCCTGAACACATTGTCGGCGAGATCACCGATTCCGATCCCCAGGCCTTCACATGCCGAGCGCACAACACACGGGACATCTCCTGACTTCACCACACGCCTTGTAGGGATTGAGTCTTTGAGCTGCAGTGAACCCAATAATTATGGCGATTACATGTACTAATGTCTCATATGGCTGTGAATCATAATCGTACTCAATCATCAAAAAACCCTCATCAGAAAGACTCACACTCACTGTTGGGTCGCATGTTTAGTAGGTAATTTAATTTCCGTTTAAATAACGCTTACACACAAACTACAAGTTTGACTGTCGCGATGCAGCAGGGCAGGTGGGAATAGCGCCGCCCTGTCGTGTGCGTAAAGAGGTCACGTGTCGAGGCTCAGAAGTAGTTCTGGGATGCCTCCTTCCACGGACCGTTCTCGAACACGGGGCGGTGTTTACTGGTCAGCGAACGGTCTCAACGGATTTGTCGTGTTCTGGCGACACGATGCCAATCGCTACAACTCCGAGGTTGAGTGTAACGTCATCAGCACAACCATGCATCACTGACAGGCCCAGGGAACGAGTCCACATTCACGCCGAAAATCACGGTTACATTACACGATGACACAAAAAAAACACGTACACACTCGCACGTCGTATTTGACACAGTGGGTACAAGTTTCAGAAACAAAACAATCGATCTGCATTTACATTCAGTTGAGCGGTAATTAATACATTCACCAAACTGTTTTTTTTTCGAAATCTATCAAGTAAACGATAATAACACACTGGGAATACTTCCCTACCATTGTAGGTACACACCCGAACAGACCGTGGCTTTCAACTTAAAACGGTGAACTTATATTTCTATTAATACGCTTGTAATGTCTCTAAATATGTTTAGTTTTTTTTTATTAAACTGGGAGCGTGACGCCGGCACGCATTGGCCTCCGCGTCTTCGAATCACGCCGCGGATCTTTAACGGTCGCTGCGCGGCGGAGGGCGCGGAAAGAGGTTTTTTTGTGGCAGCATTGACCGGGGCGGCCTCGCGGATTCGAACCCGCGAACCTCTCCGCAACAAGGGGCGAACGCGGCGCCGCTGGGCCATGGCGTCACGAGTTAGACCCCCCCCTACCCCTCCCCCTTACGAGAGGTGGGGGGGGGGCTCATGCCCACACGAGGGATCCATCGTTCAAGGCGCATTCAATTTGCCCCGAGGCTGAGCACCCCCGTATGTCAAGAAAACCAAACGATTAAACTATTTTGTTAATTTACCAGCTAAGGCCCAACTGAACGACGAAGTGGCGTATATTGTCTCGCGGGAATTGTGTCGCAGCCAAATGACTCTGAAGGCGTGTTGTCGATTCTAATTGTGGAGGGGGGGGGGTAAAACAAACCGGAGGACCCGGCGAGAGTGAAAACAACAACAACGAATGAGGAATGTGGAGCGTACGATCGCCTTGCCCGGGTTCAGGGTCTCCGGGTTGGACTGCGCCGATTGATCCTTTATCCATCCCAAGCTGTCACGCCACACGTTACTGAGCGCACCTGAACCCAGGCAATAAGGTTTAGTAGAGCGTGACAGAGTGGGGGGGGAAACAATCAACGCCGCCGCTGTTCCTTTTTTTCTTTTTACAAAGCGGCCGCCGAAAGTTAAGAGGCGTTTCAAAATGAGTTCACCGTTTCAAGTTGTAAGGCCCGCGGTCTAACGTACACGTGAACTATAACGCTCATACGTGGCTTGGCCTTGAAGGCAAGGCGTACGTAGTGTTGTGCGGTGGGGCCTGGCCCGCAGGTCGCCTCCTCGTCCCACCGCGGGCTGGGACGAGGACTGGGACGGACTCCGGCCACCACGCGAAGGGGCTGTGGGCGCACGGCCACGGAGTCTCTGTGGAGTCGACACCGCCCGCCCACCCCCAAAAGAGGAGGAGGGAGTCACCTCGTCATGGTTCGTACGTCTCGCGGGAAGCAGCAGTAGCGAGCCGCATCCTGTCTATCTGGTCTGCGAGCCGCATCCTGTCTATCTGGTCTAGAAGGTGCATCCTGTCTATTTGGTCTAGAAGGTGCATCTTGCCTATCTGGTCTGCGAGCCGCATTTTGTCTATCTGGTCTAGAAGGTGCATCTTGTCTGTCTGGTCTAGAAGGTGCATCTTGTCTATCTGATCTGCGAGCCGCATCTTGTCTATCTGGTCTAGAAGGTGCATCTTGTCTATCTGGTCTGCGAGCCGCATCTTGTCTATCTGGTCTAGAATGTGCATCTTGTCTATCTGGTCTGCGAGCCGCATCTTGTCTACCTGGTCTAGAAGGTGCATCCTGTCTATCTGGTCTAGAAAGTGCATCCTGTCTATCTGGTCTGCGAGCCGCATCTTGTCTATCTGGTCTGCGAGCCGCATCTTGTCTATCTGGTCTAGAAGGTGCATTTTGTCTATCTGGTCTGCTAGCCGCATCCTGTCTATCTGGTCTAGAAGGTGCATCTTGTCTATCTGGTCTAGAAGGTGCATCTTGCCTATCTGGTCTGCGAGCCGCATCCTCTGCTTGCCGGGGTAATTCTTCTCGTGCCCGCCCGCTGTTGTTTGAATTTGCGGTGCAGGCCTCGGGCGGCTCGTTCTGCGCGACGCCTTTTTGTGCTTTCATTCTCTTCCCCCGCAGCCCAGAGCGGGATGGTTTCTCGCCGCCCTGCAACGGATTCTTCTCACGCCGCGTGCGGTTTCCCTGTTGCGACAAACTCACGCAGCCCCCTCGCTCACTGCAGCGTCCCACCTGCAGCTGCCGCCGATGTCTCTGGTCTCAAAGCGAGGGAGGAGGCCCCTCTCGCTTCATAACAGCCCCTCTCTCTCTGAGGATCGAGCGAGTGATCACAACTGCCCCGGGTTATTCATATTGTCTCATTGTCTGCGGGGGGGGGGGGGATGGGGGGTGGCCCTGCTCTTTAAGTGATTGTGTGCCAGAGCCAATTGTTGCTACACAAAGACAAATGTCGTGCCCCCTCAAGACCCTCTGCGTGTCGCCTTCACAGATTGTAGGGATGAGTGGCATTTAGCGAGCGTCTATGAAGTCTGCCACGGCACCCGCCGTGATGGGCGGTCGGCTTCACGCCACACGCCGCCTTTGTCTCCCTAGTGACGATGCGTATACACCACGGCACCAGGTACTCATTTGAGGCCGAGTCGACCTAGTGGATGCCCAGAACCGGTCAGACAATCGTCACTCGCTGCTGTTGGCCGCGAGCTGGGAACGAATTTTGGCTCGCCGGGTTCGTAGCGCAGTGCGCTGACCGCTGCGCCACCGCTCAAACTCGATTCAGTGACTCCCACCCCGTCTGCTCTCTGCTCCAAGTGCGGACCCGCCCGTGCCCGCGTGGGTTCAACGTCTCTATGCCTCTGCCTCTTGGTTTTCCTTCTCATTCCCCTCGCCTCCCCACTCGCACCGCCGGCGTCGTCCCCCGTCGCCGTGGGCTTCCCCCTCCTCTCCTTCCCCCCCCTCCTCTGCTTCTTCCCACCCCGCCACCTCTGCTTCTTGCGCCTTCGCCGCGGCTTCTCGGTGACCCCCACCTCCCGGCATCCGCCAGCGTCGCGGCGGCGGCTCATCGCGTGCCTGCGAACGTTGGCGACGTAGAGGCGGAGGTGAAAGGCGCCGCAGTCGAGCAGGCCGCCCTCCAGGCTCCGGGCGGGCGCAGCGGGCGGTGCCCGTGCCGCCTCGGGGCTCTGCGCCTGGAGGGATCGTGGGGGCGGCAAGAGCGCGGTTGTGTTAGGTGGCGGTGGGGATGGGAGGGAGGCGGTGGTGGGGGTGCAAATGTTACAGCGACGTTGCTCAACCTTCTCGAGCTATTTGGTACGGTGCCCACTCTACCCTCCCCCCCCCCCACTCTGTCCACCAAGCTCGACCACTGGTGCCCACATCTCCCCCCCCTCTCCCCACAAACAAACATGCTCTGATTATAATTATATGCATTGACCTATAATTATCAGAGCGTGTTTGTTTGCCTGTTTTGCCACAAAGTCTGTGCGGTTAATGCAGACTTGATGCCTTGCAAAAAAACGCAACAATTTCGTGTTGGAACATTTGAACACGGGTCCTGTCTTATTGGCAGAAAGGGGGGGGCGGGGGTGAATCAACCTTACTGTTATTTTTCCGTAATTTTTGATACTAGCAAAAAAAGGTCCCGTGCAACTATTTCATGTTGCGTATCGGTTGTGTTTTGTCGCCGTAAAGTGGCGCTGACTTTCTCTCACTCGCGCGCCCGTGTTGTTTTCCAATTGTCCCCTGCACCTGCACGGTATCTATGCCGCAGCCTTGCGCCCTTGCCTGCACTGCCTTGCATTAGCTTCTCGAGGCAAAGTGTTTCCACTCTTATTGCCAACTTTCACAGCGCTGTTTGCGGCTGCTGCTGCTGCCCGCTTGGCGTACCTTGGTCGGGTGAAATATGTTGGAGTTGAGGAAGATATTCCGGATGCTTTTTAAGGTGTCACAGGATTCGGAGCAATTATTGCCGAAAAAGAAGTCTCTGAAGTGATTGAGTCCGTCGACAATTTCAGCCAAGCACGCCTCCTGCGCCCAAGACATACGGTCGCACGCGACAAAGGGGATCGTTAAACACACGGCCAACACAAACGCGCCCTGGTCATGCCAAGGGGAGCAGCCCTGTGCGTTCCATGCGCTGTAAGTGGAGTCTGCATGAGTCGCACAACTGAATATGGATCACGACGCAAAAGCTGGTGCATCGCTGTGTATCTTCCGTGGCACAGCAGCGCCTTCTGGAAAGACGCCGTCGCGTCTGCCGAAGGGGTGCGTGGAGCCCAATAGAGTATTTGTGTGTAAATGAATGGAATATGTACACAGTACACTCTGGGTAATATCCGGCCAGGTGGCTCATCGGTAGAGTGTATCGCAGTCGGAAAGTCGCGAGTTCAAATCCTGACTAGGGGTTGACTCGGCCCATAATCCCCCCCGCCCCCCCCCCCCCAGGGGTTGACACAATGGTGAAGTTGACACGTGGTTGGCCTCTGGATAGACTCAGCCCGCCTCCCCCAACGCCAATACAAATGTGAAGACTCCTGCCACTAGTTCAGGGTTGTAAAGTTAACACGAGCACCACCCCAATGCGGGGGGTTTTTTGTATAAAGCATGTCACTTTGACCTTGCTATTGTTGTTGTTGTCATGCCCGGATACGTGTTAGTGTGTGTGTGGGAACATAGTTGAAACGCAAAGGCTTGGTTGCACAACCGTTGACAACTGATGTGTGCAGTAACACCTACCATCGCCGTGTCGTTCAGCTGTCCTCCTGCCAGGCACAGGAATGGCTTCCCCTTGAGTTTCGCGAAAGAGTTTGAATAGTTTGCGCAATTTGTCTGAACAAAATGGGGAAAAGGCATCGTTTAAAAAAAGAACAACAACAACAACATCCTCTTTGGTTCTATTCGGTAAAGTCACGTAGGTAAAAAATAAAATAAAACAATAAAAAATAAAAATCACGACGTTTTATTTTTTTGCAATCACGAAAGCTTCAAATCTAGAACAACAACAACAACCAGAACATTCTCTCGGTGCCCATTGCGGCGTCTCTTGGTCGCGAGACGTTTACATACAGCAAACATTTCTGCACGTGAAATAGCAATGAAGGTGACAGAATGAGCATATTTACCTGGAGCGTTTTGATACGCGTCATCCTGGACAGGAATATCTCAAAGCGCAAATTGAGATCACAGAGGTCGAATTGCGCTCTCGACGCCAGACTTTCTGCCCAGATCACAGTGACGAAGATGAGCAGGATCTTCACACCTAGGAGACAATCATCATCATCGTCGTCATCATCGTCATCTCCGTCATCATCATCATCATCATCCCTGACACGGACAAAACAAAGCCACGAGTGTGAACGATAATTTGGTAACGCTTTTAAAAAGCTATACAACTATAATTTTGTTTTATTTCAAGAAAAAATATAGCTCTTTTTCAGAAGCGACCTGGTTATTACAAATGATAGCTCAACGAAGTGGCTTGTCACGTGGAAATGTATAGGAGGCAAATACTCTAAAAGGCGCGTTTCTACACGTGGAGGGAAAAATCGGAGGACCCGGAGAAAAATCCACGCGACCAAAGAGAGAGACACGCAGATTCCAAATATACAGCAGCAGCAGGCATCAGGGTTGGGATCGAATCCACGACCTCCTGTATACCAGGCGAGGTAGTTAACATCTCCTAGCCACCGTGATGATGATGAGAGAGAGACACGCAAACTCCAAATATACAGCAGCAGGCGTCAGGGTCAGGATCGAACCCACGACCTCCTTCATACCAGGCGAGGTAGCCTCGCCAAGGGGCTGGGTCCCCCCCGCCCCTGTGTGGAATACAGGCCACAAGCCTCACGCACCGTGTGCCTTAATCTCCGCACCCATCCTGTTCCCGAGTATTCTTAATGCGCAAAATTTAGTGCAGCCAGGAACCGATTCCTCTGCATTCGAGGCGAGAGCCCCGAAGGCAGGGACCGAGCATCGACCCGCTGGTTCTGTCCGCGAGCAGCAACATCGGCACCGCACCGGAGACCTGGCTTAATCTCTCACGGGACGTATTTTCTGGATCGCTGGTAAACCCAGCGAGTCGTTACGGAGCTATACCGAAATTGGCGTGCCGATGCAGACGGACGCGACCGAGCCCCTTGTCACGGCTCCACTCGGCTGACAAAAGATGCGTCCGTCAGCCGTCACCACCGCGTCGCGCCTGTCGCTTCTTTAAAAAAAAAAAACTCTGAACCAACTTTTAGAACCGGCCCGTTCTCTTTTCTTCTCCGGCGACGATGCAGCATCGGGGCGACTCGTGGCGATGCAGGCGCATGCCTGAGAGGGCGCGCGTGCTTACCCATGCGTAATCCCTCCTCTCTCTCTCTCTCTGGACCGCGATGGGGATCCAATCGCGCTGCGTTGCAGCTCGTTCTCGCCCTCTCTTTTCACCCGTTTACAGAAATCGTAAGCAACTTTCGCTTCGAAATAATAATAATGATGATTATTATTATTCCGACAATTCCCCTAATCTCATACCTAAATGTGCAGAGTTGCGGGATACAAGGTAACGCAATGGGAGCGGTCAATTGTGTTAGTGGCGGCAGAGCAACTCGTTGTGATTCGTGGATTGCGCTGCACCTTGGTAGGGCGAGAGGCTCGCGATCCGAGTTCAAAATCCTGGACGAGGGGTTCACTCGGAACCATCATCCTTCCGCGATCAGTACAATAAGCACCCCTTTGCTGGGAAGTCAACGGCGGTTGTCCTATGGATAAATTCGCCCCCCCCCCACCACCATAGGAATGTGGAATTTCCACCCCTGGCTCAGGACTGTAAACGGGAGATGAGTACCACCTCAACGCTTATTAGAGTAGTAAATCGCTTCCACGCTGCACACTTTTGGTCCACGGGAAGATGCTCGTGGGTCTGTATCATAACACGGGAGGTGGCACTGTGCTAATTCTCCAACCCCCCCGCTCCAACGCCCCCCCCCCCCTCCAAAAAAAAACCTCAATCCACGATCGCTCAATGAAAATAAAAGACACAAACCCAACATTACCTTTGCAAAACATGTTTGAAGCGAAGGAGACGACTCTGCTCTCCCCACTTTCCTTCTCCACCAGAGGCGTGCGGCGGCGGGGGATGAGAAGTTTGCTTGGAACGCGCCCTCGCTCGCCCCGTGCCCCGTGTGTGGCCGAGCGTCGCCCGCAGAGTGAAGTCCACGCGCTCTCTGTCTCTGGGCTCATGTGGGTGCCGGGCGACTATTAAATAGGCGACTGCGCGGTGGAAATGCCACCCTCGGAATTGCCATGCGGAGCGAGGAGTTTCCTTGCAGAGGTGGAAAACACTAAAGCTGCAACGCAGCCAGAGGTACATTTTTTTTTTCTTCCAAAAGGGAGATATTTCTGTAAGCGAGAATGCTAATCGCCATCTCAGCGGGAAAACCCCAAGCTGGCACGACGCGGAGAGAGCCCCAGCAATAGTGCAGGAAGCAGCGGTGGTAGCGTGCCCCAGGTGCTTAAAAAAGCTACATGACACGGGTGCTCGTTTGTTTTTTTACATCTCACACAAAACACTGGAAAGTCCCAGGCCACGGTGCAATGCGTGTAAAATTAGCCCTTGACGATCGCGTGGATGCAAGAGCCACGCTGATGTGTTACGTGAAGATATTAAAACACGTGGCACATTCGTGGCCTCCGTGATGTGATCTCCGTACTGCCCGTGAACGCACTGAGTTGCTGAAGAAGCGAACCGTGAGACGTGCACCTACAGTGCCGAGAAGATGTGTGTGAAGCTCAATGATTATTATGGAAATGCCATCGTTTTACCATGATAGCCTTCTTGAATAAAAACCGGCCAATTTATAAATATGCAATGGAGTTTATATTAACCAAGTCCATGTTTTTTTGTTTTACAAAATGATGTATGATATAAACAAACGATAAGTAATTAAGGTGAAAAAGTGAACCCCTGATTTCATTAGGCCAATTAAGGAAATAATTAGAATCAGGTGTTTAAATATAATTAGGTAGATCTTCAGGGGTGAGTTTTGGAGGCCCCACCCTATATGAAGTCCAGAAACTTTGTGTGTTTGGTCTTCACCATAAAAAGGTATGTGGAAATAAGTCACGTCACGATCATAATAAATCTCTGAGGATCTCAGAAAAAGAGTTATTGATGCTTATCAGTCCGGAAAGGGCGACAAAACCATTTCTAATAATTTGGAGTTCCACCAATCCACTGTCAGACAGATAGTGGGCCATTTTCGTCAGCCTTGCGGGCAATTTTCCGCTCGGCCTTGTGGTCCACTGTCTGCGTGGCCTTGTGGGACACTTTGCTCGGCCTTGTGGTCCACTTTCTGCGTGGCCTTGTGGGACACTTTGCTCGGCCTTGTGGGCCACTTCCCGAGGCCTTGCGGGCCACTTCCTCGGCCTTGCGGGTCACTTCCCACGTGACGTTGTGGCCCACTTCCCACGTGACCTTGTGGCTCACTTCCCACGTGACCTTGTGGGTCACTTCCCGCGAACTTCCGAAACACAACCTTTATTTATCTTGGAGAAATCCGATGAACTTTGAAGCTTTTTTTCACAGATCCCAGTTTGGGGAACCCACTGCCGCAATTCACCCACGTCGTTTGTCCTCCATCACATTTGTATGAAATCAGCTGTTAGCTGCAGTCTCCATTTGTGACATAAAAAAATATCGTGTAAATATTTTGTGTACTTACAATGACTTGTGACCCACGTCACCCGTGGCCAAAGAGCAACTCAATAAACAAGCAGACACCCCCTCTCCTTCCCATATCTGTCCCTCTACACAAACAATAAACATATTCGTCCTGCACACATCCCAGTACGCCTAGCGTCCTTCCTTTATGGTAGTTCATACTTTCAGCAACATTTGGTTCAATACGAGCAAATGTTGGCCCAGTTTTTGACAGTGTCTCCGTCAGCAGAGCGAGGCTGGCGTGAACCAATCAATACTGCTTATGCATTGCCTTGTGTTTATTCGGCAAAACCCTCTCTGCTGCAAAATAGGCCGCGTTTGCTTCATGTGCCTGGAGGGGTTCCATCTGACTGCACTAGTAAAGAATCGGAATGTTTTTGTTTACGTGACAAACCTTACTAATTGGCTGTGCCGGATGGTGGCGGGTTTAACGACACATTTATATTCATGCCATTTAACCCAAAAACCTCTCATGGTTAATATTGATCGCGAAACCCTACCACTACGTGTTAAACTAACCTTAGTTAGCAACTCGCTTTGCCAACCACCCAGTTATTTAATGAATTCACCAATGAATCAATACATAAAAAAAAATTCGTATAGAAAAAAATATAAAGATGCATTCCAGCAATTGCTCACTCCACCCACTGCTGGTGAAAGGCCTCCCACTCGAGCGAGATCTGGAGATTCCCTCGAGAGGGCATTTGGCCTTCTCTTCCACGCTGGTCACACGCCTTGGAGGGGAAGTGGGAGCAACCCACGTTGTACCCCACCCCAAGGAATTTGCCAATCGACGCCTGGCTTTGACCTGTGGCGTCCATCGTGACGCTTGGTGGGTGGACAGAGGTTGGGGCGATTTATTGAAGTTTGCCCCCCCACTGCGTCCACTGCCACTCGGGCTCGTGGAAGCGGCGGCCTCTGGCTTGCAGGCGCAGAGTGCTCACCGTCACACCACATTGGCATCATCCCAGAAACAAAAAAATGCTCGCGTTTTTTCCCCCACGTTTTTTTTTGTTTTACACACGGGAACATGTGCTGCCGCTTGGTCCTTCGGCATCCACTTCGCCTGATCACACACAGAGTTGACGAGGTAATCTATCCATCTATATATATAAAAAAACGTGCCAGGTAAGGCCCACTGAGCTACATAACTCTTTTTTTTCCAGAAGCGACCTGAATATCACAAATAAAGAGCTCAACGAAGTTGCTGATCGTCACGTGTACATTTATAGCAGCCAAATCCTCGATACGCGTGATGTTGATTATACATGTGGGGGGAGGGGGGGGGGGACCCGGAGGACCCGGAGAAAAATACATACGACTACGGGAAGAGACACACACAAACTCCAAATATACAGCAGCAGCAGGCGTCAGGGTCGTGATCGAACCCGCGACCTCTTGTACACCAGGCGAGGTAGTTAACACCTCCCAGCCAACGTGGCGCCCCTATTTATCCACTCTCTGTGTTGCAATCACTGAGGAGGCTGACCGCCGCGTGACCCACCTGTTGCGGCAGTGGCAACACCGCGCGCACGTGGAGCGCTCTCCGGCCTCAAAACTCCCACGGGGTGCGGATATTGAACCGTCGTTGGCGAGGAGACGCGCAAGGGAGTCGCGGCCCCAGGCAAGGAGCGCCACCACGGCTGTGCATCCATGTTTTGGGTCGCTCTGGAAATCCCCCCCCCCCCCCCGGGTGCGCTCACTTCGGGGTGGATACGTCGTTGAAACATTGCTCGGGTCGCACGGGGAAGTGATATCCGAGACGCATTTTTTTAGTTTACGTGCAAAAAAAACAACCCGCCGCTGAGTTAATCGTTGCCTGCATTGCTGTGCGCCCTGGGGCGGGTATCCGCTGCAAGCCACCAATCGTCAACCCGAAGTGCGGGCGGTGTTCGTGAGAGGGTGCGCGAATTTGTAGCGTGGCTGCAGGCAGGCTCACGTTGGGCAGGGATTAGGGGGCCCCCACAACCAAGACGCTGCACCGGGCGCCCCCCCCCCTCCCCACGCCACGTTTCTCTCCACGCGTCTGTCTACCGTGGCGTTCATCCCGAGGCAAGGCCGCTCCTCCACTCCGTGTTGCTGTCACGCCAACGAGGCCGGCGAGGCCAGCGAGGTCAGCGAGGTTAGCAAGGTTAGTGAGGTTATCGAGGCCAGCGAGGTCAGTGAGGCCAGCGAGGTTAGTGAGGTTAGCAAGGTCAGCGAGGTCAGTGAGGCCAGCGAGGTTAGCGAGGTTAGTGAGGCCAGTGAGGCCAGTGAGGTTAGTGAGGTTAGAGAGGTCAGCGAGGTTAGCGAGGTTAGTGAGGCCAGCGAGGTTAGCGAGATTAGTGAGGTCAGCGAGGTTAGCGAGGTTAGTGAGGCCAGTGAGGTTAGTGAGGTTAGAGAGGTCAGCGAGGTTAGCGAGGTTAGTGAGGCCAGTGAGGTTAGCGAGGTCAGCGAGGTCAGCGAGGTTAGCGAGGTTAGTGAGGCCAGTGAGGTTATCGAGGCCAGCGAGGTCAGCGAGGTTCGCGAGGTTAGTGAGGTTAGCGAGGTCAGCGAGGTCAGCGAGGCCAGCGAGGTTAGCAAGGTTAGTGAGGTTAGTGAGGTTATCGAGGCCAGCAAGGTCAGTGAGGCCAGCGAGGTTAGCAAGGTTAGTGAGGTTAGTGAGGTTATCGAGGCCAGCGAGGTCAGTGAGGTCAGCGAGGTTAGCAAGGTTAGTGTGGTTATCGAGGCCAGCGAGGTCAGTGAGGTTAGCGAGGTTAGTGAGGTTAGCGAGGTCAGCGAGGTCAGCGAGGTCAGCGAGGTTAGTGAGGTTAGCGAGGTCAGCGAGGTCAGTGAGGCCAGCGAGGTTAGTGAGGTTAGTGAGGTCAGTGAGGTTAGCGAGGTTAGTGAGGTCAGCGAGGTCAGCGAGGTTAGCGAGGTTAGCCAGGTTAGCGAGGTCAGCGAGGTTAACAAGGTTAGGGAGGCCAGTGAGGTTAGTGAGGTTAGAGAGGTCAGCGAGGTTAGCGAGGTTAGTGAGGCCAGCGAGGTTAGCGAGGTCAGTGAGGCCAGTGAGGTTAGTGAGGTTAGCGAGGTCAGCGAGGTCAGTGAGGCCAGTGAGGCCAGCGAGGTTAGCGAGGTTAGTGAGGTTAGTGAGGCCAGTGAGGTTAGCGAGGTTAGTGAGGCCAGCGAGGTTAGTGAGGTTAGCGAGGTCAGCGAGGTCAGCGAGGTTAGCGAGGTTAGTGAGGTTAGCGAGGTCAGCGAGGTTAGTGAGGTTAGCGAGGTCAGCGAGGTCAGTGAGGCCAGCGAGGTTAGTGAGGCCAGCGAGGTTAGTGAGGTTAGCGAGGCCAGCAAGGTCAGCGAGGTTAGCGAGGTTAGTGAGGCCAGTGAGGTTAGTGAGGTTAGTGAGGTTAGAGAGGTCAGCGAGGTTAGCGAGGTTAGTGAGGCCAGTGAGGTTAGTGAGGTTAGAGAGGTCAGCGAGGTTAGCGAGGTTAGTGAGGCCAGTGAGGTTAGCGAGGTCAGCGAGGTCAGCGAGGTTAGCGAGGTTAGTGAGGCCAGTGAGGTTAGCGAGGTTAGTGAGGCCAGTGAGGTTAGCGAGGTCAGCGAGGTCAGCGAGGTTAGTGAGGTTAGCGAGGCCAGCAAGGTCAGCGAGGTCAGCAAAGTCAGCGAGGCCAGCGAGGTTAGTGAGGCCAGTGAGGTTAGTGAGGTTAGTGAGGTTAGCGAGGTCAACGAGGTTAGCGATGCCAGTGAGGTTAGTGAGCTTAGAGAGGTCAGCGAGGTTAGCGAGGTTAGTGAGGCCAGTGAGGTTAGCGAGGTTAGTGAGGTTAGCGAGGTCAGTGAGGCCAGCTAACCTCGCTCACCTCGCTAACCTCATTTGCATTTTAATGAGGGAAATAAGTATTTGACCCCTCTGAAAAACATGACTTAGTACTTGGTGGCAAAACCCTTGTTGGCAATCACAGAGGTCAGACGTTTCTTGTAGTTGGCCACCAGGTTTGCACACATCTCAGGAGGGATTTTGTCCCACTCCTCTTTGCAAATCTTCTCGAAGTCATTAATGTTTCGAGGCTGACGTTTGGCAACTCGAACCTTCAGCTCCCTCCACAGATTTTCTATGGGATTAAGGTCTGGAGACTGGCTAGGCCACTCCAGGACCTTAATGTGCTTCTTCTTGAGCCACTCCTTTGTTGCCTTGGCCGTGTGTTTTGGGTCATTGTCATGCTGGAATACCCATCCACGACCCATTTTCAATGCCCTGGCTGAGGGAAGGAGGTTTTCACCCAAGATTTGACGGCACATGGCCCCGTCCATCGTCCCTTTGATGCGGTGAAGTTGTCCTGTCCCCTTAGCAGAAAAACACCCCCAAAGCATAATGTTTCCACCTCCATGTTTGACGGTGGGGATGGTGGTCTTGGGGTCATAGGCAGCATTCCTCATCCTCCAAACACGGCGAGTTGAGTTGATGCCAAAGAGCTCCATTTTGGTCTCATCTGACCACAACACTTTCACCCAGTTGTCTTCTGAATCATTCAGATGTTCATTGGGAAACTTTAGACGGGCATGTATGTGTGCTTTCTTGAACAGGGGGGCCTTGCGGGCGCTGCAGGATTTCAGTCCTTCACGGCGTAGTGTGTTACCAATTGTTTTCATGGTGACTATGGTCCCAGCTGCCTTGAGATCATTGACAAGATCCTCCCGTGTAGTTCTGGGCTGATTCCTCACCGTTCTCATGATCATTGCAACTCCACGAGGTGATATCTTTCATGGAGCCCCTGGCAGAGGGAGATTGACAGTTCTTTTGTGTTTCTTCCAGTTGCGAATAATCGCACCAACTGTTGTCACCTTCTCACCAAGCTGCTTGGCAATGGTCTTGTAGCCCATTCCAGCCTTGTGTAGGTCTACAATCTTGTCCCTGACATCCTTGGTCTTGGCCATGGTGGAGAGTTTGGAATCTGATTGATTGATTGCTTCTGTGGACAGGTGTCTTTTATACAGGTAACAAGCTGAGATTAGGAGCACTCCCTTTAAGAGTGTGCTCCTAATCTCAGCTCGTTACCTGTATAAAAGAAACCTGGGAGCCAGAAATCTTTCTGATTGAGAGGGGGTCAAATACTTATTTCCCTCATTAAAATGCAAATTAATGTATAACATTTTTGACATGCGTTTTTCTGGATTTTCTTTTTGTTATTCCGTTTCTCACTGTTCAAATAAACCTACCATTAAAATTATAGACTGATCATTTCTTTGTCAGTGGACAAACGTACAAAATCAGCAGGGGATCAAACACTTTTTTTCCCTTACTATAAGTCGCTGCATTGAGCTGTCGTTTTTTATAGCCAGGGTCGCTTCTGGAAAAAAAAAACAGTTCCATAGCCCAGTGGGCCTTACCTGGTAAAATAAAATACAAAGTTTGTTTGAAATAGATTATATAACATGCCCCTCTCGTATATGACATGCCCCTACCGTAT